GAACCTCCCTGCCCCGAGCTCCCTGATCCCTCTAAGCCAGACCCCCCCAAACCAGAACCTCCCTGTCCCGAGCTCCCTGATCCCTCTAAGCCAGACCCCCCGAAGCCAGAACCTCCCTGCCCCGAGCTCCCTGATCCCTCAAAGCCTGACCCCCCCAAACCAGAACCTCCTTGCCCCGAGCTTCCTGAACCTAACGTGGGAGTTCAACGATTGCGTAAAGAATAGGGTGGCAACCTTCGAACAATACAAGTTTTGATGACTTCATGTGTGGCTTCTATCAACTTCTTGCCCTTCGTAGTAATATCGATAGAATTGTACATGGAGGTAAACTCACCTGGTTTCTTCGGACAATACATCACTGTGCTGAAGGCTCGTATCGTGATGTGAAGGTGGTCTAGGTCCACCTGACGGAAGGGTAACAATTGGTCCGGCTGTATTGCCAAGGCTGCTGTGTGGTGTCCATGAAAACCTCAAGGCGCATATTGCGTTTGCCGATGAGGGACTCTACGTGGAAGCCTAAGAAGCTTTACGCATGCACAATGGTATGTGGCAAGCGAAGGTCAAGTGGCTCGGGTTGGACGAAATGGAGCCCTGGGAGCCGGCCGTCTCCATTTATGAAGTCGAGCGAATTTTGTTTCGTCGCTGAGCAGCTGCCCGACACGAACAAGAGATGGTATGAGCGAAACGATTGAAGACATTGAGACAGCGTTGGTCACTTCTTGTGGGGGGGATTGATCTCGGCTAAACGTCTTCAACACAAAGCTATTGTATATGTTGCCGGAAACTATGTCAGCCTTGTCTCATGGACGTAATGTCGGGTGTCATCATCGGACGGAAAGTAGGCCAGTTTTAAGCTAGCTAGTTCTTACTCTAAATTGACCATTCGTACAGGATATCGAGGTTACAGTTCAAGCTGAACGCTCGTCGTTGAGCTATGATGGTATTCCATTTCGATCACCTTCGTGAAAAGTTTCCACCAGGTTCAGGGGGCCGAAGGGCACGTGACTCCGAGCGCGGCCATGGACAGCCCGCTCCACTTTTGCAACGTAACCAAGCACATGAATCCGTGGTGTTTTGGGCCAGATCAATTCGAAAATGCAGCCAACAGCGAAGCCCATTATGTTGGCACTGGGCCAGAGATCTGGCGGTATAAACCACCGGACAACTCGATGGGTTTGTCGTGATGTCGGGTACGTATATCTAACTGGCAAGGACGCGACTGGCATGCGTTTCGTAGGCACGGGAGGCACCGTCGGGGGCGTGTCCAGATTCCTCAAGGAGCAAAACCAGTCGTTTCAAGTGTGGCACTTCGACCCGATTGAAGGCGGGGCGTCGTCCGACTATGTCAACACCAAGCAGTCTACAATCGGGCCCGATGGCTTTGAGTTTATTCTAAAGCGCGATGGTGCCACGGTCAGTCGTGTAGTAGTGCGCGTTCTTCCGGCGCTCAAGTTGGCCATGGACGCGTAGGTCGCCAAAGGAATCGGTCTGGTACGTGTCACCCCCAACTTCAAAACGGGGTCCATCGCTCGCGGGGCACCAACGGGGAGATCGTTCAGATGGCGTACTACCTCCTTCGCCATGAAGGAACACTCCTGCGGCCACAGAATACACGTAGCATCACTGGCATGACGACGGCTGTTTGTGAGGCCGAGTATTGCCCATAACGCGGTGGTGGCAAATGGCTCGGGAATTGGGACCTGGGCACACGATCATGACGGTCTTGTGCGATGGGGGCGTCCGGTACCGCAGCAAACAATACCAAATAACTGGAGATAGAAAAGTTGACAGACCACGCCCCGCTGCAGTTGTTCAATGCGGTCCTCGCTCTAGATATCACCATCATTGAGGTCGCTTTGAGTCTAGTTTGGTGTACGAGGGGGGG